AAATCATACCGCTTTTTAAATCTGGAGATAGGAGTGACCCAATAAATTATAGACCTATATCTATACTCCCAGCACTCAGTAAAATTTTTGAAAAAATAATCCTTATGCAGCTTGTCAGTTATTTCAATTTAAATAATTTAATCCACAATAGTCAATTCGGTTTTTCCAAAGGTCGTTCAACTACAGACGCAGGTACAGAGTTGCTTAGACACGTATTTGCTGCATGGGAAACTAAAATGGATGCGATAGGTGTTTTTTGTGACCTTTCTAAGGCTTTTGATTGCGTTGATCATAATACATTGCTAAAAAAATTTGCTTTTTATGGCGTCAAAGACCATGCTTTAAATTTAATAAAATCTTATCTATCTGATAGAATACAGAAAGTGAAGGTTAGCAACGCTACGTCTGACGGGTCACTTGTGCAAATGGGTGTACCTCAAGGATCTATTCTCGGTCCATTTTTATTCCTAGTTTACATTAATGATCTCCCATATGCCATGCAGGATAGATGCGGCATAGTATTATTTGCAGACGATACTTCTTTGATTTTTAAAGTTAATAGAATGACTAATAATTATGACGATGTAAATAGTGCTTTACGGCGTCTCCTGCACTGGTTTACAACTAACAATCTTATGTTAAACGCTAAAAAAACAAAATGTGTTAATTTCTCTCTGTCTAAAAGTTTTAATACTAATTGTAATATTAAATTAAATGAGAATCTCTCGAATTTATAGAATCTACTGTCTTTCTAGGAATCACACTAGATAATAAAACACAATGGGGTGCACAAATTCAAAGCCTTGCAGCGAAACTAAGTTCAGCAGCTTTTGCCGTGCGTAAGGTTAGACAGTACACTGATACTGATACTGCTAGATTAGTCTATTTTAGTTATTTCCATAGTTTACCCTCTTATGGAATATTATTATGGGGAAAAGCGGCAGATATTAAAAATATATTCATATTACAAAAACGTGCCGTTCGAGCGATCTACTGTATGAAGAGTCGTGACTCATTAAGAGAGAAATTCAAAGAGGCAAATATTCTCACCGTTGCTTCTCAATTTATATATTCAAATATCCTATATGTTCATAAAAATCTTGATTTATTTCCAAAAAACAGCAATATTCATAATATTAATACAAGATTTAAAGACAAACTTGCTGTCCCCAAGTATCGTTTAGAAAAAGTTAATAGGTCTTTTATGGGAATAGGTATAAAAATTTACAATAAGATACCAAAGGATATGTTGGAATTACCCTTAAATAAATTCAAAACATCTGTTAAATCATATTTACTGAGCAAAGCCTATTACTCACTAAACGATTACTTGAATGACGAGTGTGCATGGCAATAGTTGTTCATGCACTGAATTTTCATTTAATGTTAGACATAGACACCTATATAAATATGCATTGTAAATAAACTGGCTTTAAAAAAAAAAGTAATTCAATTGAGTTTCTTGCCAGTTCTTCTCAATTGGATCTATATACCGAACTGGACGGTAGGGAAAAAAATAAAATTATAATGTAAAAATTTGACGTTCATAAGCGGCTAAAATGTCCTACATGAATAAATGATTTTTGAATTTGAATTTGAATTTATCGCAGTAAGGACGAGTATATAAAGTGATCAACACAATTAATTGATTTTTGAAATATATTCAGATCCAAAAAGTCTTTGTGTATTCAAAAAATATCTAATTTGTTTGTGTGGGCGGGGTGCGGTGTACGGTGCTCCCCCTGCAACGGTGGAGTTACTATGTATGGAGCATTGCGAATATAAAATATCTAGATTAGTAAATTAATAAATTCATAATTGATAGACCGTTACGGTATCTATATATATCTATATATAAACACCTCTTTGGGCACTTTGTTGATCACGCCACAACCCAAACACTTGCTGATTCCACCTTTTGCACTGAATAACTTGATTTTATATTCGCAATGCTACATACATTGTAATATCCGCCTCCATTCATTGTAACGGTGGAGGGACTAAATAGTTGAATAAAACTGAATAAGCAGTTGCTCCACTCTATAGGTACTGCGTCGTCGTCGTATGCTGTTCATTTTTTCACTCGTTTTGGCGCCAAGAGAGGGTCACATAGTCGTGGACAAGTTAAGAACTTATAATTTAATTTTGATAACAATAGATACAAGTAAAAAGTAGGTATTATATTAATGTACGTAAGTACTGTACTTAAAAATATTTATTCTTTATTGTACATTTGAAAAACTTAACACTTAAGGACTTGTACATATACACGTACATACTGCCATTTTCTCTTAGAGACATCAAGAGAAGCACTATTTATCAAATACGCGGGGTGCACCGACCTTTGACCTTATAACAGCTGATTCGCGCGTAACGAATTACATTGCTACTTTTTGGTATTTTATAGTGGATATTTCACTATAAAATATTATTATTTCTTTAGATTATGACATAATAACATAGTTTACATGATTTTAAGGGAAACATACGATAAAAAAAATTCCCGTAAAATGTAAAAGATAAAAAATGGTTATTGTTGGTTATCCTTAAGAGATAGACATATACCATCACGGACTTTTTTGTTGACCTTATTTTGATACATCTCAAAGCACTAGACAATACGCATTTTCATTAAACAGTATTGTATTTTTTTTATTTATTTAACTTTAATGCACAAAAAAATTTGTACATGTGGCGGACTTAATATCTTGCCGCGTTATTTACCAGGCAACCATGAGTGGTGCAGCGAAAGATTATTGGCGGTGCACTAATATAAATAAGAAATGTCAAAAAAAGATATATAAATACAAAGCAAAATATACATTTCTATAAAAAAATAACAATATACATACATAAATTAAATATATATGTAAATATAACCCATAAAGAATAATAATAATTCTTTTATTGGAACTAAAAACATATATAATATTTTACAAAGTAGGGTAGTGTAATCGATAACAGCCACATTAGTAAGTAATACTGTGTCGTGGCCGTCAACGCCCACCTCCTTAAGACAGAGGCGTTAGCGTTCCAGTAGCAAATACAATAAATTTATATAATAAAAAAATAATAAAAAACAAAGCAAAAGCATGCGTGATTACGTTTACAACATAACTTTTAGGAAGATAAACAAGTTAAATTAAATACAAAATTCTTAGCCAACATTCACTAATTAGGTTACCTGTATGTAAAAATATTACAATGAAAAAAATTTAAGACGAACGAACGAATGCTATAATGTAATTTAATGTTTATGATTTGTAGTGAGCATAATTCGATTTGATGTGTTATTATATAAATCTGTAAGTATATGTATCTGTGTAAATGTATCTGTGTAAATGTATATGTTGGATGGTATGGATGAGTTTATTTATATATATTTCAAATATATTTCAAACCTTTACGAGATTTTCAGTGTCGTCGTAATCTAATTTCTGAAGCCATTGAAACAACAATATTTTAGATTCGCGGAGTGTATGTGGATAAATGGAAACTACCTTATTAATTTTGTTATATAACACTGAACCAAGATATTGATATTGCCGTCGCACTACTGCAAGATTAGATGATTGAGTTGGACAAACTATACTAGGTCTACGTTTATTATGATGAAAGTTAGGGTTGAAAGCTATATCTGAATGTCTACGGAGTACGGTCTTGAATATGTATGTCTGTCTTACGGTCAGTACATTACAAAGGGAATACAATTCTTTAGTGGGATAATAAATAGGCTTCTTAATCATTACCTTTAGTACAGCTCTTTGGGATCTTTCCAATCGCAATAATAAGCATTTCCCTGATCCTCCCCAGGCCGAGATACAATAACTTATCAAAGAGTGTGCAAGTGCAAAATATACATTTTTTAGTGTCATTAAATCTGCGCTATTTCGTAGATTTCTGAAGATATATGTCGCCGCAGCTACATTATAACCCACAAATTAAAAATAAGGAGATGAATGACGCATCTGCTGTTGATTTACCATATTGATTATCAACATTAATAGAAACTGAATCACATTCATTACATCTTTAATATAAGGACGATAGATGGAGCTACCATGCGGCTTAATATCAACGCATAATCGCTTCAATTAATGCCGCTAGATGGCGTCATTATCAGTCCTTTTTAATAACTTATGTTTGTTATTTAAAATTACTAAATATAGTAAAAACTAAATTAAATATTAAAATTTATTATGAATTAAGCAATTGTTATGTGAATTGTAAATAAATTTATCTATGTCGAGCGAATGTCGGATGTTGCGTAACGTCCGCCATTTGCGTGCGGATTTCCTTCACAATAATTAAAACTTTGATAAAATCTTGTAATCATTTTAAAAAGAAAATAATGCAATCATCTTGATTTAAATTTAAATACCAAAAAGTTATTTTTAACAATAATGTAACGTTCAATTATTTTGCATTTAAGTTGTTAACTAAAATCAACATGAAAAACATCCGGATGATTCGGTTAATAGTGTAAGTCAAATTTATTAATATTACAAGTTTATGGCTTTATTTAATTGCTAATATTATTAGAATAACTAGACGGTAATTTAAGTAATTATGCCGCTTTATTATTGTTTAATTATAAGCCTTAGGCAAAAATGGTATTTTACTTCCGGCACTGTGGCGATCGACACCTTCCGACTTGAGCGCGCGTTCAAGTTGGAGGGAACACGATTTGACCACATGGCTGGTCTTGTGAGTAAGATTCATTCTGTGTTCGGTGCTCGAGCGGCGTGGAAGTAAGTTGAAAACTCTTGTTACTTTAGTAGAATCAATTTGTAATTATAATCACATTAGAAAAGTATTGTGTTATAAAATAAAATGAAAGATAGACTATAATCATATTTAGAGATTATTATTATAATAATAAACTAATCTAATTTCGCTTGTTCTTTTATTATTTTAATGTAATGTCAAACTACTACCACTAGTAGAACCGATGATCCTATTATAGGTCAACGGTTCTGCGGCTTTTAAAAAGTATTCCTGCTTTCCTACTCCGACATCAGAAGTGGGATAGCTCCAGCGATCCCCTTTCTGCCCCGGTCATAACATTTTTTCAGATCCTGACGTTAAACCAAACCCTACGGCTACGTTATGAGTGACACCGAGCGAAATACTTCTGCAGCGAGTGCAACGATACAAGCGGACGTGACCGGTGTTTCCAGGTCGCCACCTTCAGCACCGATAGAAACCTGTGCAGGCCCGTCTCAACAAGGCGCACCTACAGCTACGGTACTCCAACAGCAGCCCGGTGATGTACCACCTAATTTTTTCTTACAAATGATGAATGTTATGCAAAATATGAGTGATAGGCTACTAAATCAACAGCAATCTGACAGAGTTAAAATTACTGACGTTTTCCTACCTTCCTATGATCCCGATGGAAACGTTGGGGTCCGTGAATGGTGTAACCACATTTCAACGGCTAAAAACACCTATCAGCTAACTGATTACGATTTACGAATGAAAGTGACAAGCTTATTGAGGGGTCGTGCTAAAGTATGGGCTGATAACTGGCTTGTGACCACCAGTACCTGGGACGAGCTGCGGCAAATAATTATTACTACTTTTGAACCTGAATCTCGCTATTCGAGAGACGTACTTAAATTCAGAGAGCATACCTATGATTCTTCTAAAGATATTGCCGAATTCTTAACTCAATCGTGGATTTTATGGAGACGCGTAACTAAGGATAAGTTAGATAACAGTGATGCTGTTGAAGCTGTTCTTGGTACTATCGGTGACGAACGTCTTAGAATAGAGTTAATGAACGCAAGAGCTACCTCAGTGCCAGAATTAATTTCGGTTGCTTCATCTATCCGTAGTAAACGTTCAAGTCAACTTAGGGTCGATCAACCTCTCCAAAAACGTGCGCGATATACAATTGACCATAGGCATACTGCGCAATATTGTAATTTTTGTAAAAGAACTGGTCACACGTTGAATAATTGTCGTAATAAGAAATCTGCTGACTTAAATTTAATCAATGACAAAAACGCAGCCAATCCTCAAAGTGGTAGACCTCACAATATTAAACACTGCTCGTTTTGCGGTAAACCAGGTCACGTGTTTGATACTTGCTTTCGGAGAGAAAAGGAGATTTCTTCTAATGTAAACTCACTCGCAAATAAAGGAAATACTTTAAATGTAATGCGTATGAGTGTCTGTGGAAAACTTATTAACACGGTATTTGATAGCGGTGCGGAATGCTCGGTCATGCGAGAATCCGTTGCGAATAAGTTACCCGGGCGTAGATGTCAAATAGTCACATACCTACGAGGCATAGGTCCATTTCCCATTATTTCCACGTCCACGCTGAAAGCAGTGTGCATAATCGACGACGTTAACGTAGAGATATTGTTTTATATTCTACCTGACCACGACATGACAACAGATGTTTTAATTGGAGCAGACATACTACATAGTTCTGGTCTTAGTGTAATCGTAACTAGAGAAAGAGCAAGACTTTGTTATAATCCTTGTATTCAATACATACAGTCAAAGAGCCCCTTATTTGAGAAAATTGACCACGACTTGACTGACGAACATCAAATCAACCAACTCCTTACTTTATTGTACAAATATTCTGAACTTTTCACACGTGGGTATTCAAAAACGCGCGTTAAAACCGGCGAATTAGAAATCCGTTTGAAAAATAAAGATAAATATGTTGAGCGAAGGCCTTACAGACTCAGTCCAGTCGAACGCACAAAGGTCAAAGACATTGTGGAGGAACTCATCAAAGCCAATATAGTGCGTGAGAGCAGATCACCTTATTCCAGCCCAATAATTCTAGTAAGAAAGAAAAAAATGGAGACGACCGTATGTGTGTTGACTATCGGGAGCTAAACGCTAATACAATACGCGACCATTTCCCTCTTCCACTTATTGCTGACCAGATTGATCAACTGGCAGGTGGACAGTATTACACCACACTTGATATGGCATCTGGTTTCCACCAGATACCTATCTCGCCAGACTCAATCGAAAAGACCGCATTTGTAACACCAGACGGACTTTATGAATATTTAACTATGCCCTTTGGTCTTTGTAATGCACCTTCCGTGTATCAACGATGTATAAACCGAGCCCTAGGACAGCTCCTAAACCCTGGTAGTGCTAATACCTTACATAACGATAGCGTGGCCCAGGTTTATATCGATGACGTCATCTCCAAATGTCTGACTTGGCTGTAAAAGACAAGCAAAGATTCGATAGAGGTCGCGCACAAATTCACAAATTCCAGCGCGTCGACTTTGTACTAATAAAAAATAATCCTAGAAACCAAACATCCCTTGACCTCAAATTTAGTGTCCCTTATGAAATATACAGAGTTTTAGAAAATGATCGCTACCTCGTGAAAAAGGTAGTAGGTCATTACGGTCGACCACGCAAGGTCGCTCACGATCAGCTGAGGCGAGCGCCGCAGCCAGCAGCCGGCGCCCAGGCGGCCGTGTCACCTGTCGGGAGCCCTGCGCTACCTGACCACTCTGCACCACTCAGTCTTCAACATTGTAGCGAGTAACAATCGTCTGCTGTCATGTTGGAAAACGACGAATAGCTCGTTGTTCAAATCTGGTAATTTCTATTTTTGTTGCAAAACTATTAACCTAATATAATCTAAAAAAAAAAAAAAAAAATAAAAAAAAAAAATAAATAAATAAATAAATAAAAAAAAAAAAAATATAATTATTAACACAAAAGATGCTATTGACGTGTGGAGCCGTACAATAGCCAAATATTATGATTGGCAACACAGTTGGCCAAATATTATTAATTACTATTGGCGTGTGGAGCCGTCCAATAGTAAGAAATCCTATCCGAAAAGAATAAAATGCCTCTGTGTACCGCGGCGTTCAGGACCGCCTAGAGCACAGCATCGACCTACCCAATCCCTTAGGACCTCTGTGAAAACAGCATCGACCTTTCACCGTCACATCCTTCCCAAAAATAAAAAAAAATATATTATAAAAAAAAAAAACAAAGCAGAAAGAAAATAATAATAATAAAAAAAAAAGACTACTGTGGTCACGTGGAGTGAACAGTACTAATATAAACCTAATTACATAACTAACTTATCATTTATAACTGCTTTCACGTGGAGTGAGCCGTGATATGATAACTAACTAATTAAGAATATTCTGACTATAGTTGCGACTGTTGTCATGTGGAATGAGCAGTCATAAATTTTGACCTTACTATTATTACTATTATTACTTCTACTTACTAATTTGGCTGTATGCTCTCTATATTAAATGATTGAATGGTACCCTGAATGTGCCAAGCCTCAGAAAAATTGTTTTATTTCCAGGTAACATGGAGCAATGCAGAGCACGCATTGCACATCAGAATGGCCGTGTCGCCGCAGCTACATTATAACCCACAAATTAAAAATAAGGAGATGAATGACGCATCTGCTGTTGATTTACCATATTGATTATGAACATTAATAGAAACTGAATCACATTCATTACATCTTTAATATAAGGACGATAGATGGAGCTACCATGCGGCTTAATATCAACGCATAATCGCTTCAATTAATGCCGCTAGATGGCGTCATTATCAGTCCTTTTTAATAACTTATGTTTGTTATTTAAAATTACTAAATATAGTAAAAACTAAATTAAATATTAAAATTTATTATGAATTAAGCAATTGTTATGTGAATTGTAAATAAATTTATCTATGTCGAGCGAATGTCGGATGTTGCGTAACGTCCGCCATTTGCGTGCGGATTTCCTTCACAATAATTAAAACTTTGATAAAATCTTGTAACCATTTTAAAAAGAAAATAATGCAATCATCTTGATTTAAATTTAAATACCAAAAAGTTATTTTTAACAATAATGTAACGTTCAATTATTTTGCATTTAAGTTGTTAACTAAAATCAACATGAAAAACATCCGGATGATTCGGTTAATAGTGTAAGTCAAATTTATTAATATTACAAGTTTATGGCTTTATTTAATTGCTAATATTATTAGAATAACTAGACGGTAATTTAAGTAATTATGCCGCTTTATTATTGTTTAATTATAAGCCTTAGGCAAAAATGGTATTTTACTTCCGGCACTGTGGCGATCGAAACCTTCCGACTTGAGCGCGCGTTCAAGTTGGAGGGAACACGATTTGACCACATGGCTGGTCTTGTGAATAAGATTCATTCTGTGTTCGGTGCTCGAGCGGCGTGGAAGTAAGTTGAAAACTCTTGTTACTTTAGTAGAATCAATTTGTAATTATAATCACATTAGAAAAGTATTGTGTTATAAAATAAAATGAAAGATAGACTATAATCATATTTAGAGATTATTATTATAATAATAAACTAATCTAATTTCGCTTGTTCTTTTATTATTTTAATGTAATGTTAAACTACTACCACTAGTAGAACCGATGATCCTATTATAGGTCAACGGTTCTGCGGCTTTTTAAAAAGTATTCCTGCTTTCCTACTCCGACATATATATGTATGTTTAACAACAAGTTTAAATTAATATTCGTAGAAATAAGTATATATTAGCAAAATTAATTAAATATTACTTAAATTATCAAAATTTTTAGTCGCACTATACTAATGTTCACTGACAAATGTTTACGAATGTCTTATCGTAGCGGTGTCGTAAAAAATAGCATAGGTCCTACCTCGACGAGCGCTAGCGCAGCACTGAGAATTTACTTTTGGTGCAACGGAATTTATACAACTTTAAATTATTATTATTGTTTGTTTTTTTTTTAGAAACTTATATTTTTTTTTTATATTTCTAATTTACAAGTATTAACTTTATTTTTGTGTTTTTTTAATCAAAAATTTCGTTGTATTTATGAGAAAATTAGAAATGATTATGGCAAAGTTTTGTTGAAATTTCGGATTTAATTATGATCAATTTTTTAGATATTTAAGTTGAAAATGAAAAAAAGGACGATGCTGTCTCAATGTATAAAGTAATTATCAAGTTTTAGTAAAGATATCATATCAATTTATGTTTGTTTATTAATGAACGACGACCCCAAACTTTTGTCTCTTAGCGTTTTTGAATAAACTATTTTAGAAATTAGGAAGACTAACAAAGAGAAAATTAACATTTCAAAGATGCTGTTTTTAAGATTAGATATCTATCTATATAATTCAGGAATCAAAATGTATATCCGACTCTTAATTTCTTAGAACCAGAACCCCAAAGACCCTGCTTATAGGCCAAAAAATGTGAAAGGCCTCTTAAGGGAAGCCTATAATAAACTTATTGTAATTGATTATATTTCCTGAAGAAGTACCAGGAATATTTAGTTGTTATTCGTATTACCTGATGATTGTTCCAGGCAATATATTTTTGAATACCTGAATGTTGTCCCAGGTATAGTGCCTTAAGTGAAGCTTGTAATAAATTTATTGTAATTGATTATATTTCCTGAAGAAGTACCAGGAATATTTAATTGTTATTCGCATTATAATCACATCGCAGCAGATATAAATACACTATTTTACAAAAAAAAGGGTCATTCGCACCATTTATGATATGGGTTCCAGAGGATTTTTGCGAGAGTGTTTTAAGAAATCAAATATCCTTAACGTTGCTTCTCAATACGTTTAGGAAAATATCATGTATGCCAGGAAAATTATAGACATATTCAAAAGAGTTAGTGATTACTAACTAATAAAAGCTTACGTAATAATAACAAACTGGTTTTACCTAAAAGTTAGTAATTTGTTTTATGGCAATTGTGTAAGATTTTACAATAAACTGCCAATCTGTTCTAAATCTGCCTGAAAAAAAAAAAGATTACGAAAGTTGTGATGCAATATAAAATCATTTCAATTTAAAAAAATGCGATCAAGTAAGATCGATTGACGGCAGCATAAATCATTTCTATCGATAAAACACTACTATGCAATTGCAGCGGAATATTGTTAATCCGACCAATTTAAAAAGTGAGTACATTAGATGGCTTATACCTTTAGAGGGATACATTTTAAATTATTACATTAGGTTAATACACTAGTTGGTTGATTTGAAACAATTTTTATTGCGTTCAAAAATTACAAATACCTAGGTAGGTACGTAGGTATACATATAAATTTAAAATGATATGGGTACATCTTTTTAAATTTGTACATAATTGTAAAACCTTTACCGTACCGTATTCATTGAAATAGTTTTTTAATTATATTCATATTATAAACAACCCTAATTTTATATTAAACGTTTACTCTAGTTAATACAACTTTCTTTTTATTAATTTGGACTAACATATTTTATTCAATGTGATTTTGGACAAAAATGATATATCGAATTGGCAACACTGATGTCGTGTTGTGAATCGTGACAATTTTCCCATTTTAATAAATTTAAAACCCTTTCACGACTTTCTACGTAATATTTAATATAATAAAAATATATGTAATACTGAAAATTACCAAATCAAGATAAATAATGCTGCTAATGCTGATATTTTAAAGATTGTAACCAAAAGAAACACCTTCTAAATTGTTTCTTATACTCTAAAAACTGTTTCAATTCCACGCTGTCATTTCGGCAAAATAGCGATTCCGTGACATTGCAACGAGGTTACTGAATCGACATTCGATAGAAATATTTTCTTTCGATATGTAAAGTTGCGTTTATGTTGCAATGCTAGTTGACAGCGTCAAATGGCGTCAATATAATCGTATTATTGACAGACGACGTAATTTCCACTACGTTACATACGAAAATCGTTGCGAACGAAGTTAGATAATTAGCCCACCGGTTTCCAACGTGATCTGCCAAACCAGATTTCAGTGACTACAACGCCATCTAGTTTGAGTGAGGTAACCACCACAATATATTTTTAATTAATTAATATGATTCATGCTTATAAACTTGAAGGTAAGATATAAATAGTAAAGGTTAAATCTAATTATAATTATGATATGAAATGAATGTTGTAGAAGTTTAATATGATCACGTTTATTAAACACAAGATATAAGTTCTGATTTGACCGTAATAGTCGTACCTACCTACTGACTTTAAAAATAGAACCACCATACTGTGTTGATAGCCCAGTTCGGTTTCAGCGCTCGAAGTGAAAAGTACATATAAGTGAAAGAAGAAGTTAATAGTCTTAGTTTATGCATTGCTGCTGCCGCTCCATAACACATGCCTCTTTCTTGTTGTTGTGTAATTGTTTATTTTAAGTGCATCTATCCAAAAGAGCAACACACTATTCTTTCTCGTTCTTCATGTGACGAGTCTGCGTTCCGAATGAGTGGTGGAATGGGAAGGGTTAATGTAATTGTTTATACCTGATTGTTGTCCCGGGTATAGTGGTTTAAGAGAAGCCTATATATAATAAATTTATTCGAATTTGTTGAAGAAGTACCAACAATATTTAATTGTGTAATTAGTCCTTATTATGAAAATTGTTCTAGGACAATTTTTAATAATCCTTACTAATATTATAAATGCGAAAGTAACTGTGTCTGTCTGTCTGTCTGTCTCGCTTTCACGCCAAAGCTACTGAACCGATTTAAATGAAATTTAGTACGCAGATAGTCTACACGCCGAGGATGGCCATAGGCTACTTTTTTATGCGAAAAAAGGTTTGTAAGGGGTTCAAAATGGAAATACAAGGTTATCTTTATGCGGTTGAATACATGGCACACTTATTCGTCATCTTTTCATTTCACTAGCTAACAACCAATCAACACATCGCGTTTGCGCCAATAAGATATCCATCACAGAGAACAAAACCACAGATAATATAATGTAAAACGAAAGATCTTGCCGGAAACATGACGTTGACGTTTAGCGAAAATATTGTTTTTTGACACTTTTTTTGATAAAATCGTATATCATGAATGAAATGAATGAATGAAATGAGTATGAATGAAAAACACTATTGTTCCTCTCACATAAAGAATAATTACATAAATTAATATGTACATTAAATATGAAAATAATAACAAAATAATTATAATATAGAGGTAACAATGGGCGGCCTTATCGCTAAATAGCGATTTCTTCCAGGCAACCTTAGGATGGAGAGGAGTGATTAGACTGTGTCTGGTCGAGGTATAACAATTAGTTGTTGGATGTACAATTTACATATCATATACACATACATATAACTACATAATAATCATTATATATAAAATATACATACATACATATATACATATATATATATATAAATATCCCCTTGGGCACTTTGTGGCTCAGACGTGCCGTACAGGTAGTTTCTTGTTGATCCGGAGGCCTTTTGTTGATCTAATGCCAGCTGACCATATGTAAATGTTGCTCCGTTTGGAGCCACAACTGTCACGACGAGTAATAATAATAATTAAGCGATTTATACACGATTTTATACAAATCCACCTTTTTGGCATACGAGCAGGTCTTGATCCAATTCAAACGGGCCAATCAGGGCGCAGCATTTGCCAAGGGCTTCCTCATTGGCACGTTTGGGCTACTACATTATGGCTACAGTAACTTAATAATGTCTAGCTAGTATTTCAAGAATAATAGTCTATCTAATCTAAATATTTATAGAAATCAGTCTGGAGTAACGTGACTCCAGATCAAACCTCAATACTATTGTTATTTTTTGGACGGGAATTTTTCCTTTTGTAACAACGTACTGAGCGAATGAAGAGAAGACGCAACAGCGGATCTAGGGGGGAGCATCATGGAGGTCTTGGGAGTCATGGGGGGTCATGACTCTCCCTCCCCTTAGCCCAGGACTTAGGTAGACCACTAATTGAACTAAAAAATAATGAAACAGCAAAATTTTTTGCACGAACGGAGTGTTGGTGCAGTAGTATTAATTATAATTAAACATTGTTACTTAAAATATAACACTTAAAGTACTATAACACTAAAAGCAAAATAAGTATTTTCAAAATAAGATTTTGAGTTTTTGTCCAAACCTCAGATATTTTATTTATTTTAGGTATATCAATCATTACATAGTATAATATAAAACAAAGTCACTGTCGCATCTAACAAGTACATAAATAAAGAAAGAAGACTTTTTGGCTCTGAATATATTTCAAAAATCAATTACTTGTGTTGATCAATTTATATACTCGTTCTTATTTCATAGTACTTGTTTTGATCCGAATATATACAGATACCGTAACGGTCTATTAATTATGAATTTATTATTATTATTATTATTTCATTTATTTCGGATATTTATCCATCCATATTATGTTAGTAAACAACTTATTAACTATGTTAGTAATTTACAATTTTATATATTTAATTCATATATTTATGTCTCTGTCCACGTCCAGAGGCCCTGGGTCCGCAGCAATGCAGCGATATCCAGTGCCCCTGAAGTGGACAGTCCGACATATTGGATATGGTGTTTAGGAGGCTGTTTGCGCTCCCCCGAATTCTACACATCAGTGATGCAGTTCTATTTCGCATTATGGCTTCAAAACCATCTATCCGCGCTGCTGCAAACATCTTTGATACGCTACAGAATCGAGGGAGCCCAAACAACATGCTAAACCCATTATTATATTGTACGCGAAGAGCGTTGTATGCCCGCTGCGTGTACCTAAACCACAGGCTGCACGTGTAAAACGACTGACAATACGCTTTAAACAATGTTGTCTTCACGTCGTTATTACACCCAGCAAACCTATGGGCCAACACATTATATCGGACCGACAACGCTCTTCGCTCCCTCTCTATATCAGAATCATCACTTAAGTCTTCCGATACAATGTGACCGAGGTATTTAAATCGCGACACCCGATTTAATGGTGTACCATAAATACACAGCGCTGGCATATATCTTAGTTTGGTGTTATTACTATGAAACATCATGACTTCACTCTTTTTCACATTGTATCGGAGCCCGTGAGACTCTGCATATTCCTCACACATCTTCAGTAGCCGCCGAAGTGCACTAATTGACGGACTCAACAGCACCATATCGTCCGCATAACTTATACTATTAACTATAGTTCCATGTATAGAGCACCCGATCCCGGTACTGCTAAGACCCTCAATTAGATCATCCACATACATACTGAAGAGTGCAGGAGAAGACAGCCCCCCCTGCCTCACCCCACACGCCAAGGTATACTCCTCCGAGAATGATCCCGACCATTTGACCTGATTAATTTGATGATCGTACCAATATTTAAACAAATTAACCAACTCATCGGGTACAGCTAGTCGGCGCATTTTTGACCATAGTATTTTATAATCAACCAGGTCAAATGCCCTGGAAAGATCCAAGAAAGCCGCATGAACAGGTGTACTTCGATCGGTATAGTACCTGACAGTCTTCTTGAGAGCCATAATAGCAGTCTCAGTTGATAATCCTGGCTGAAAACCAAATTGCGCATCGTGACACTTAAAATATTTGCATATTCGCCTCTCAAGAATACCGTCAAGCACCTTCGCAGCAATCGTAGCCAATGAAATGGGTCTATAGTTGTCCTTGTTAGATAGATCACCATTTTTATTTTTTACAATGGGTACAACTATAGTCCTCATTAATGCACTCGGAAGATAAGAGTGTTGTACACATAAATTATACAATAGAGTCAATACCCTAAGGAGTTGCGGACCTGCACACTGGAAGTGTTCTATACTGAGCGAATCGTGACCCGGGGATTTACCCCTCGTCATAGAATTAATAACGTGTTTTATCTCTTCCGTAGAAAAATGTACTGGTACCCCCGACTTAGCACTTCCAGGACAATCCGATCGCACTCGGGATTGTAGAACTGGATCAATTTTAAAGTGGTTTTTGAACAAATCTGCAATGTCCTTTGGGTCACTCAAGCTATTGACGCTCACAGGAACGGAAGGTTTAGGGCTAAGTTTTTTAGCTAAGTTCCAGAACTTTATAAAATTCTTGCCCTTATGCTCTGCACTCAAAATATTTAACTTTATTTGTTCTGCATTATTTTGGCAATATTTTAATTTTTGCTCAAAGAATTTACTCTTTTGTCTCATATTTACAAACAGAGGCCCGTATCGGGGTTGTCCATAAAACTTCCAATTTATAAAAGCCTGTCTCGCCTCTCTATGAGCGTCCCTAACATACCTATTCCAGCCAGGCACACCACGCTTTCTCCGTGTGCCCTTTCCCGGTTTGCCACTACAAATAGCCGCTTTTCTAATTACTGAAATAATATTACTATAGAGAATGTCAATTGCCTGCCTATGTTCTTCATTGCAACATATGCTGTTACCACAACGACTGACCTCGAAAGGAACATTTATAACACTCAGACTTTCTGTACACAACTGGTAATAATGATCCATCTGCTCCACTGTTCTCGTGCCCCATATAACTGGATCTCTTACCCATTCTTGGCATCTTACTATGGTATTCGTAGTCATTACACCCAGGTTAATATGCATTACAAGCGGAAAGTGATCAGACCAATACACATCGTCATAAACCTCAACATCACACACGGTTCCTAACGCTGCTTCAGTCACAATACAATGGTCCAACCAGCGTTTACCTCCACATACATCACTAATAAACGTAAACGTACCCGAGCACCTGCCCAACTTAATATAGTCAGCACAACTCCAATGTTGTTCATTACAAAAATTTAATAATTCTGTTTCGAACAATTCACCAGGATGCGCATTAAAATCTCCCATGATATATACATTTTCAGTACCTGAACTCTCAACAATAGCTACTATTTCACTCAATATATTACAAAATTCAATAAAATTATCAGGAGAATTCGTTGGCATATATATACTGAAAAACAACATAGTGCGATCACTGAATGTAGCTTTAACGGCAACGATACGGTCACTTAAACACGGAATAACAGAGACAGACGTAAATACAGATTTTCTCCACAGGAGTGCTACTCCACCAAAGGGTCTTCCTCTTAATATCCCCATCGACATGTCAACGGCAGATTTACCAAAATAACCAAAATTATTATCTACGGTACCCAGTACCGCCAGCTCATGTGGCTACAGCCATGTCTCCTGAAGGGCAATAATGTCAACATTCTTACATAAGTTTTGTATACATTGAATCGACCTCTTTAGTGACTTACAGTTATAACTTACACATTTAGCAATATAATTATCATAATTTTGTGTATTTATATCCATTATTAAATATCAAAACAAAAATCTATATACACATAATATATATTATACCTAAACTAGATATTTTATTTTGACGAGTCCGTGTAGTAGTAGTATCCGATAAGGGTATGCGAACCCTAAGTATTATTTCAAAATGACCAGTAATTTCGAAGAAATAAGCCTTTGAATTTCAAATCAACTTACCAAACGGACGCTCAAGGTTCGATTCCCGCCACCGATTTTTTTTTGTTATTTTTTTTGTTTTGTCTTTATTTTATATTTTAAATTAACTATTTTAATAATTAAATGAATTTAATCAAACAAAACGTTGTTAAATATTAAATTAATTTTAATTTACATTACCTATTATACTTTCTAAATTGTAAAGCAGCTAACAATTATAGTAAGATCTTATAAATAATTAACATAATAAGTATAACATTTTAAATGTATTTTCTTTATTATTACAAAATATTTTTTATGCATAATATAATAGTTAATATCACTTAAAATTAATTTAATACTTAACAACTTTTTTATCGATTAAATGAATTTAATTATTAAAATAGTTAATTTTAAATATTACTTTAAAAAAAAAAAAAAAAAAAAGCCAATGGTAGGAATCAAACCCGGGATGGCTGTGTGGTACGTTGGTACACAGGTACATTCCTAACTAGTAAAATTAATTTAATACTTAACTACGTTTTTATTATAAATTAATAATCGTATAAATTTAATTAATTATTAAATTAAAAAAAAAAAACAAAATAAATAATAAAAGTAAACGATAGGATTCGAACTCGGAGTGTCTGTGTAGTAAATTGGTACACAGGTACACTACTAACTAGGCCATATTGGTGTTGCTTGTTATGGTGAAAATGGTGAAAATAGTATATATATATAAGTTACACGTACAATTTCAAAGACTTATTTCTTTAAAACTACTGGCCATTCTGAAATAAAACTTTAGGGTTTGCATATGTAATGTTTGCATATAAAATATGATTAAAGGTTACCAGTGTATTTACACTTTTACTGAACAAACAGAGTTGTTTAATACTGAAAATATTCAAATTCAAATTCAAAATATCTTTATTCATGTAGGTCTATTACAGACTCTTATGATATGTCAAATCTACCGTCAGTTCGGAATGATATCGAGATGAGAAGAACTGACAAGAAACTCAGCTCGTATTTTTTTCAAATAATAGTGGAACATGTTTATAATAAATATAGTTTTTAAAATTCAAATTTGAGAGAATAGAGTGACCACCAGCATATGCTATCGCAAAGAACAAAAAATTTAATCAGTGTTCACAACCTGAACAGACCAGTCCCCACAAGCAGCACCCGTTCACGAGTATGACGTATGAGCCAGCCATCATTGTACTCAAACATATTTGAAGGAGCACATCGACCCGGCCCACCACGCCACCACAAGTTTGAATTTATTTATATCAAAACAATGAATATTGTTGTTATAACAGCCCATGTTGTATATAAGAGTGTTAAGTCTTATTGTGTGGAAGGCATCAATTACTTTCAGTGCATTTATAGCTTTGCTCTTTTCCTAATTATTATTATTAAGTTTTAAAGTGGTTGAAATTTACGTAAGGGGTATTTATACATTATTTCTACTTTACCATTTATTTTAAGTTTTTTAAACTCTATTTATCGAGACCTATCTAATGAGTCCAAACACTATATTTCTGCTGTAAGTTTTCGAAGAGTATGTTCATCATCTGATAATACTGGTGCCAGCATGAAGTCAAGGTTAACAGATAACTAATTACTTTTATTTCGTCAAAATCTTTAGATTACGTATAATAAATTCATAATATCGCTACCTATTCAAATAAAACAAGTATTAGGTACTTCATGTACTAGTATAATCTATACTAGTATAAATATAAATATATATCGCGTATAGGTATCTACTACTATCGACGAATACATTTGGCAACAACGCGCAACATATGCGATGTTGCCGTTACGGCCGAGACCATGCCGGAAAGGCAACATCGCATATTAGAATACAAAGATAGTGTTAGAAAGAGAGAGTCAGTGGAATCAGCAATATCTACGGATCGTGGCTGGATCAACTAAGTGTGCAAGTGTATATACATATATATATATATATATATATATATATATATATACATTTGTCTTTAATTCAAAGGAAATATAAATAATGAACGCATCACATTTAAAACAGTAATAAGTACGTACGTAATATTATCACATGGTAACAGCACGTATTATGGCAAAAATAAACATCGGCTGATTTGAAAAGATTTATTTATTTTATTTATTCTTTAATACACAAAAAAAACTTGTACAAAGGCGAGCTTAATGCCATATGGCATTCTCCACCAGCTAACCTTTAGGTATACAGAAAGCGTTGTGGGGCAGTTATGTCAAAAACAACAAAATATTATAGTAATAATAGTAATCTCAGGACAATTCACACAGCTTCATCTAGACCCAAGTTAAGCTAGCTGAAGATTATGTTATGGGTACTAGACAACTGATATAAATACAAAGATTTTTTTTCGTAAATACATATATATTATCTATACATAGAAAACACCCAGACCGTTACAATCATACTCATGAATACAAATGTTTGCAGCGTGCGAGGAATCGAACCCTCGACCACCAAGCAGGAATCAAAGCGGTGTGCTAGCTAAATCGCTAGACTACCGACAACTAGCTGTACACGCGACTTCGTCCGCGTGGAATTTAACTTCTTATATTTTAGAAAAATAAAGTGAAGTGAAATTCCACACGGACGAAATCCCGTGTACAGCTAGTCATCAATAAAAAAACACGTAGGTATCTCTAATATATTATACACTAGCTGTTCCCGCGACTTCGTCCGCGTGGAATTTAACTTTATTTTTCTAAAATAAAAGTAGCCTAAGTTACTCCTTATTACATCAGCTACCTACCAAAAAAAGTACCGTCAAAATCGGTCCAGCCATTTCAGAGATTAGCCGGAACAAATAGACAGAAGGACAGACAGATAAAAATTGTAAAAAATATTATTTTGGTGTATGTACCGTATTTATATTCATATGCAAGTAGTAAAAAACGGTTATTTCAATATTACAAACAGACACTCCAATTTTATTTACATGTATAGATGTATAAATTAAAAAAAAAGTAACAGTCATAAGGCTAGTCGTATGCCTAATATATATAATAACTAGCTGTACCCGCGACTTCGTCCGCGTAAATAATGAAAAAATATTTAACTCAATTAACACAATATAAGTCAAATAAATAAGTTTCATCGTTTTAGCTTCAAAAATGATAAAAAGTAAAAATAAATATTTAATCAATAGGCTAAAAAATAAATTCCAAGCTTTTAGCTTTAAACATGACGATACATCTATATAACCTTGGATCTACTCTTTCAATCCTCTTGTAACCCTTTTTCACATTAAAAAGTAACCTACGTCCTTTCTCAGGATCTAGTCTATCTATGTCTGTTTCAAATTTCAATGTAAATCGGTTCAGTATTTTTGGCGTGTAAGCGAGACAAACAGACAAAGTTACTTTCACATTTATAATATCAGTAAGGTATAAATACCTTACTGATATTATAATAATATTTATTAAAATAAACTAACCCTAAAAAGACAAAGAAAAAAGTTTAATCGTTCTAGCTTCCACAACCACACACACAGCAAATTTCCACAATAACTTTCATTCCCTATTTTATTTTACTACCCCCCCTCCCCCTAAGAGTAAAAATTTTACAAACATTGAATGTCATATTTATTGATATTTAAACAACAGCCTAAAAATGAGTCTCAAACTTCTAGTTTTAAAAAATGACGATTCTTCCATACAGCTTACCATTGCAACCCCCTCACAATCCTTTTTTCACATTCAAAAGTACCCTATATTTTTGTCCGGGTGTAAACTAACTGTGTACCAAATTTCATTTAAATTTTTATTTTGTTTTGGAGCGTAAGACAGACAGAAATACAAACAGAGTTACTTTCACAGTTATAACATTAGTGGGGTATTTAAAAATCTACCCCAAAAGAACTAATGAAAATAGTTTCATCGTTCTAGTTTCAAAAATTACGAATTTATATAATAACTATCATCCCCTATTTTATTTTACCCCCTTAAGGGTAATTTTTTTACAAACAATGAATGTCATATTTATTTATATTTAATCAACAGACTCAAAAATAAGTTTCAAGTTTCTAGCTTCAAAAATGACGATTTTACATATAAACTTGCATCCCCTATTTTATTTTACCCCCTTAAGAGTATTTTTTTTACAAACAATGAATGTCATATGTATTTATATTTAATCAACAGTCTCAACAATAAGTTTCAAGCTTCTAGCTTCAAAAATAACGAATTTACATAAAAACTTGCATCCCTTATTTTATTTTGCCCCTTTAAGGGTAATTTTTTTACAAACAATGAATGTCATATGTATTTATATTTAATCAACAGCCTCAAAAATAAGTTTCAAGCTTCTAGCTTCAAAAATGACGATTTTACATAAAAACTTGCATCCCCTA